AGGAGAGAGAGAGAGAGAGAGAGAGAGAGAGAGAGAGAGATGGCTTTCTACGCTGGTAAAGGGTTACAGCTTTGGAAACCCCCAGGGGCAGTTCTGGCCTGTTCTGTCAGGGTCACTATGAATCAGAATTGACTTGGTGGCTGTGAGAACAGTGGTGCAAAGAAAAGGTCCCCACTGGGCTCTGGCCAGGCCCTGCAGTCATGTGCCAGGCTCTTTTCAGGGGGGGCTTGGGTAAACGGTGAGGTATCCCCCTGTGCTGTGTGTGAATCGCGACACACGGCTAACGTCCTACTTCAAGTCTTCACACCCTGCTGTGGGGATTCCTCTAGTCCTTCCTCTCAAATAAGCAGGGGCTCACATATTGGACTCCAGAGTCAGCAGTTCAAATCCACCAGTCACTCGCTCCGTGGGTGAAAGACGAGGCTGTCTGCTCCAGGAAATATGTGCAGTCAGACACCCGAAGGGCCCTTCTCCTCTGTCCTAGACGGTCACTATGATTCAGAATTGATTCAACGGCAGAAGGTCTGGAGCCAGTGAGGCTGTCAAGCACCTGGCTAGTCTGAAGTGACATGTGCTCCAAGTGGAAGGCGCATGACAGATTTCAAAGACTTTTTGCCATTTTAAAACAGAAAGGACATTGTGTGTCCAGAATGTACCAGGTGAACTAGTAATACGTTTAATATATTGGTTCAATAAAATACTCAAAGTTTATCTCACCAGCTTCCTTTTCCTGTTTTCACGTGGTCCCTTGACTTTCTTGAAATGGCAGGATGGGCCCCGACTTGTGGGTTGCAGCAGGACCGCCCTGCTCTGCGGAGCTCCAAGCACTTTTCCTCTCAACCGGAGAACAAGCATTGTAGCCCAGATCGTCCTTCCCGCCCTCAGGCAGCACCGGGTCTGTCCTTCTTCCGGCCCTCGGGCAACTTCCTCTGACCACGTCCACGAGGCTTCACAAGGTGGCCCAGTGGTTCAGCCCTGGGCTGCTCCCTGAAAGGCCGATGGTTCGAAACCATCAACCACTCACTCAACGGGGAAAAGATGTGGAGGTCAGCTCCGTCAAAGACACTTAACCAAAACCCTGAGTCAGCACAAGGCAGGGTCGAACGTCCCTGGCGGGTCCCAAGACGGTAGCTTGTAAAGGAAGGATCCCTGGTGTTGCAGGGGTTCGAAACCACCACCTCCGGAGCTGTCTCCTGCCCTAAAGAAGGACAACAAGGGGCAGTTCTTTAGGGCCGCTATGAGTCAGCATCGACTTGATGGCGATGAGTTTGCTTGGGCGTCTGTTTATGGGAGTGGCAGGCCTCGTCTCCTTATCCAAGGGTGATGGTTTTGAACTGCTGACCTTTCGGATCGCAACCCGACGCATAATAACCACGGTACCCCCAGGGCTGCTGCTCTGTAAACATAACAGTCCTGAAAACCCTTTTCCATCCCATAGGGTCTCTGGGAGTGGGGATTGACTCAAACCGAAGAAACCAAGCTGCTTACTTTGCAAATCCCTTTGCAGGTGTGTGGTGAAAATGTAGTTCTCACGAGTGGCCAGTAGAGGGGGCGCACACCTTACCTTAAGTAAAAAGCAAAACCGAAACTGTCCACAAACTCACCGCCATGGCGTTCTCGGATGTTCAAGACCGTAAATCTTCACCAGACTGGGAAACTAATTGTTTCACTCTTTGGAATTCATTTTAATCAACTCTACATAGTTAACTGACCAATACAGATGGAACTAAAGAAGAAAAATAAAATGCATCCGTATTGAGTGTGAGAACGTTCTGCAGATTTTAACATTGGTTTTGTATTGGGGGTCGCCCCCTAGAAAACTGATGAGGATGGTCATAATTAAAGGGAGCAGTGGTACTTGAACTTCTCATCTTTGGATCTTATTTCCTTAAACCCTTGGAATGACAACGCAAAATACCGGCCGTGCACCTTTCTGACCACGGCCGCTGCGGAGTAAAACTCTGAAACTTCCGGATGTCGTGACTTCATTTAGACAGGGATGCACTTTATGGATGAATATTTTATGCCACGAACGAGGCCCTTTGTCGTTGGCATAAAATATTCACAGGAAAAGGATGACTTCCTAGGCAATCGTTAATGCCCTGCCACCATCAGATGTTCTACATTGCAAAAGCTCGGGTGAAGCCAGTTGCCCGCGGGTGCTCCTTCTGTTTGGAACCTCCCGGAAACATTTGGGTGATCGTCATTGTCGTCGTTGTTGTTGTCAGTTGTCATCACACTGGTTCCTACTCGAGGTGAGCCACGTGTGCAGAGTAGAACGGCTCTCTGGGGGGGTTGCTGCTCCCAGGGCATCCTCCCAGGGTCCTCGAGAAGAGGAAGTTGGTCAAGGAGGTGGACTGACACAGTGGCTACCACAATGCGCTCAAATACAGCTCTTGTGACTCCCGCACAGTGACGTAGGTGCTGCATCGCTGTCTCCACACTCATCCTGTTCGTGTGGCTGTCTTGTCCTGGTCTCACCAAACCAAGCTCATTGCCATTGAGCGCATTCCGTCCAAATCACAGAGCAGACGGGCCGCTTCGGCTTTCCGACGCTGTGCATCTTCAGGGAGCAGAAAGCCTCCCCTCTCTTCTCAGGAGTCGTGGGTGAGTTGCAACAGTTGACCTTACAGTCCACAGTGCTGTGAGTAACCCATTCCGTGGGGGAAACATCTTGTCCACTGCTCACGTGCCTGACCCAACACCCACACTTCTTTCTGATGCCCCCGGGGAAGAACATCTGTGCCAAGACGCTGTCCAAGACGACTGGGAAATGAGTCTTTCTGAAAAGTTCTTGGAAGAAGAACCCGCCCCCCCACCCCCAACCACAGGCTGGCACCGCACACTGCCTGCCTCTGCACACACTGGGGCTCCTAGCTCTGTGCCCTTGAGAACCTGGCCTCCCCTGCCTGACCCCAGGCAGGACCAGCTGAGGCAGGTGGACCTCGGCAATCATACCCTTGGGGTCCAGACCATTGCAAGGAAGTGCACCGATAGCAATCAAAGAAGGCCCATGAACGTGTTTGTCCTCAGCGCCTACGTTATGATCCCATGAGACTACGCTCTAGTAAGTGTGCTAGGAACAAGTTTGAAAGATTGCGAGAGTGAACAACGTGGGCCACCAAGACAGGAAGTGACGCATGCTGTCGGAAGAAAATGGCAGCGGCAGACTTGCTTGATGCAGGTTGCCACCCACTTTCGGTTGGTAAAAAGAGGACACTGCCTGGGAGGAACCCTGGTGGCGTAGTGGTGGAGCTTTGGGCTGCTAACTGAAAGGTCAGCAGTTCGGAACCACTATCTGTTCCTCGGGAGGAGGAGGAGGCTTTCTCATCGCCGAAGGCGTTACAGTCTCGGATGCCCACAAGGCCAGTTCCACTCTGTCGTTATGGTCACTATGAGTCCGAGGGGCGGGCGTTTTGTTTTGGGGGGAAGCATTACAAAACAAGGTGAGCCAGGCCAGGCCCCTCCGGAGCAGTCTCCTTCCTCCACTGCAGTGGGCGCAGCACAGCCACACTCCCCACCAGACCAAGCCAAGCCAGTCGTCCTGAAGTCCATTCCGACTTAGTGTGTCACAGCCCAAGCACCATTTTCTACAGATGGAATCTCTCCAAAGTAGATACTCAGGCGTTTCTTCTGAGGCACCTTCTGTGTGGATTGGAACCGCTGACCTTTCAGTTGGTCACCGGGCATTTAACCATATGAGCCGCCTAGGGGCTCCTCTCTTCTCCTCACACAGACCCTATGCGGCTCACCCAGTGAGCCGTGACTGGGGGGTAACTTGGAGAACGGGGACTGCACCCTCTGCAAGGGTCTCCAGGGGAACCTTGGACTCTGGAGCCACTACATGCCCATGTTTTAACCTCCCCCAGAAGTCTTGGGTCCAATGACAGCAAACGGCGGGTGCTCAAGAATGGAAAGTGTCCACGGAGTTGAACGGGGTTCCCGAATGAAGCATTACCGTGTAGAAGTTTGCACTTGAGGTTGATCACTGCGGGTGCCCAAGAGACGCCGGGAGGGACAGACATCCACGAGGCTCTGTGTTTGCCTGGAGGTCAGGGGTAGTGACTATCCTACGGTGCCCGCTGCGTGACAACCACGCAAGCCCTCAGAGAAAGGGGGGATACCAGGGAGCACGGTGAAGAACAGCCAAGAGAGAATGACTTGGATAC